AAGCCTGTTAGGTTTGGAAAGAGATTCATAACACAAACCCCAAATGAAGGCCATTTGATGATGGTATTGCTGTCCACACTGCATCCATCCATCCTATAAAGAGAGCTGGACATCTTTTTGTACTGTCTCATAATGCACACATCATGGAAAGAGAAGTCTATTTCAAACAATTTGCAACTTACAGATGATAGATAACAGCTCCCAATATCCCTGACCATTGGTATGCTGACTATCAATGATGATGATGAGAAATATAGTTTAACAATATCCAGAGAGCTGCAATTTCCCCATCAATGGTTTAGGTAAAAGCAGGGATCAGTTCAGCAGGATAAAATACTTTTTTAAAGAAAAAGACATGGAAGGAAATGTATTTCCTTCCCATAGCCTCTAAACCACAGCCAGCATGGGGCAGATGTAATCATCCATACCCATTGGCATACCTACAGATGTAATCATCCATACCCATTGGCTGCTGTGGCTGGGGCTGATGAGAGTTGGGGTCCAACAACTTTTGGAAGACCACAGCCTCCCCAGCTCTGCCTCCAGTCTTTCACCTATTTTACTTCAACAAGTGAAACATGGCTTAACATCTTCTACATCACAGTTTCGAAACAGTAAATACACCTCCTTGATTTTACTACCAAATTGGTCAGCACAGGATTGCAGGGTAAAGTTGCTTCCCAAGCTGTGTCCAGGGAGTTTTTAAAGATTATCTTAATTCAAAATACAGTAAGTTAGTTTTGTGATTCACTGTCTTACGAGATACAGCTGCATAGATAACTGTTTTTGAGCTGGCCAACCCTGAAGGCTTCTTAGTGAAAAGCCAGCCAAGTGGGTCACTTCCAGACAGCCTTTTGATTGAGCATTCATTCCATTTTGTTTGTGGGGAGGTCATAAGACATCTCATCAAGCAATTGTTACCCCCCACTCCACTTTTGGTGTCATTTCCCTTTCCAAATGCTTTATTAATTTTGCAAAAAAAGTCAACAAAACAATCCAAGATCAATACAAATAGCAAAAAGAAAAGAAAAAAATTAAATTCATACATAACAGATTCCATTATGACTTCTGATCACCCCGTGTTTCCTGGGTTATACTGTCAACTGCACACTTTCCATTGTCTCTCATAAATTCTCTCAAATTGTCTTGGTTTTTAAAAATTTCCTACTGCCGTGCAGGGGTCAATCAAAACCTGCCAGAAAATTTAGATGTTTACAATGCTCTTTTAGGTATACAGTACTCTGTAAATGTCCCCATTACTGTCCTTACTGTAAAAGGTGTCATGTATTATTATTGGGGAGCACAGGTTTGCTGCACAAGAGCACCAAATCCACTTTAATCAAGCGACCTGAATTTGCTGGCACGCCCCTGAATCCTACCTGCAAAACAGTGACAGTCTGCAAGGCCTCATAGAGGGCATGCCAGTACAGACAAGTTGTTGTATCCTTAACTTAGCTTCATCTTGCTGCACAGATGTTCTAATGGCACCCCCTTGTGTCACCAATACTTCATAGCAATTAATATTTCAAAATGGAAGTGATACATTATTTTTTTACTCCAGAATACTCCAGCCAAGGTGTGGGGAGACACTTAATCCTATCGATTTGGGCATGGTAGCACACACCCAGGAGCAAAGAAAGCATTCCAAAGGGGCACCGCTCTTTGGAGAAGAGATGGGGAAATGTGATGCCCTGCAGATTCTGAGGGTCTACAATTCCCATCATCCCAAACCCTGGCTAAACTTGCAGGGGCTGATGGGAGTTGGGAGTCCAACAGCTTCTGGAGGGGCTCAGGTTCCACAGCCGTGCTCTGGAGCATCTCCACACGTCACAAAGAATGGTGTGTGGAGATTGTAAAGCTTTCAAGGATGGAAGCAGCCCATCACCCAGCACAGCTACAGGAACTAAACTGGGGGGGGGGGGGGTTTGGTGAGCAGAATGAAAGGGGGAACCTTCCCCCCACCCTGTACAGATATGCAAGCTGAGCACAGGAGAGCAAGCAAGCACATAAGCTGCACTGCTAATCTGTTAAAGCAGCATCAGTCCAAAGCCATGCAGTCCTGGAGCCCCTCCCTTTTATAGCGCCTCATTGTCAATTAGCTGCAAAACTCAGACTTCTGTCTCCTTTAGCATTTACAATTATCCTCTCCAAATTAAGCAGATGGGGTGCATTTGGTAACAATTAGCCACCAGCCATCAATGCTTTCAGCCATCAGTACTCATTAAAGAAACATCTTCAGCTACAAGAACTTGGCAAAGGTGTCACCTTTTCATGTTGCTATAACAATATATTGTTGCAATACAAAGAGCAAACCGCACTACAAGTCAACAGCCAGCATTCAACAAAGCCGCTTTTTGTAAATGCTTTGAGGTTTGGCTTTTGTTTTTTTTAACTATCAAGCAATATATAAATTTGATGAAATAAAAAAATATGGTGTATAGGATACAAGCTAGTTGCTATTCTTCTCTTTAAGTGTGTGTGTGTCACCTAGAGGCTAACAGAGGTCAGATTTTGTTGTTTAAATCTACGAAGCCAAAATTAAATTCCTAGACTTGAAAAAACCCTCTATAACTGCACTGGAAGGTCTATTTAACTCAGCCAAACAAAAATCAACAGCTTGGAAATTCAAGCTGGAAAATAAATAATCTAAATTAGAAACACACCCCAGTTTTTGTTTTATATTAATTACTGAGACAGGCTAAGGGTGGGGTGAATTCCATTTCACTTTCAGATCTGGATTTTGTAAAAATGTATTATGCAAACTGCAATGATTAGAAGGAACACAGCATCAGACTGCTGAAGTCAGGCTCAATCAATCAACTCAGCACCTGCTTTGGAAATTAAATGTTCATGGGCTGCTTCGGATGTTACATTGCCCTAAAAGGTGACTTATGACCTTTTGTCGCTTAGGGTGGAAAATCCATATAGCTCCCATTCTCTTCAAACAAGTTTAGGTCTACTCTATGGGCAAGTTCTCTTGGGCAAACCTCATTAAGATAAGTAGAACTCTTGAGGGACTCTAATTCTCTTCAGCAGGTTTTATTCCTCTCTCATGAGAGAACCTGGAGCTATCCAGTGAAGTGAACATTGGGAGTTTCAAGATAGGCAAAATAAATTACTTCTTCACAGTGCAAATAGTTAAACAACCATGGTGATGGCCACCAACTTGGAAGGCTTTAAAAGGGATTAAACCAATTTTGGGGCTATAAGGCTGTCCATAGCTGCTAATGGCTCTATTGCCTCCAGTATCAGAGGGGACCATGAGCACTATTGCACTTGTGCCCCACTTGTGGGCTTCCAAGCAGGGGCATCTGGTTGGCCAATTAAGAATAGGATACTGGAGTAGATATGGCCATGGTGTGATCCTGCAAGGCTCTTCTTCTATGAAGATTGTTCCAGAGGATTGTGCCCCACACTGAATCAATCTGGATGCCCCCCATCACTGTGCCACTCTTGATGGTTCCCACAATCCACTTCCTGAAGCAATCACTGGATATCATCTTATAGGATAATGTTTTGGGAAGCAGACAGAAAATAACCTCAGATATACAACTTTACTGTGTGGGAATGGTTAAAGGCAAGACTGAGAAGATCAGATAATGGATGCAGGGCTCATAGGAAGTCACATTTTATTCCCAATCAGTTTGGTTCTAAAAGACACCATGGAAAGCCCCGCTGGGAAGCTGTTGTGGGGATAAAATGGAGAAGGCAAGATCCAGGTACACCACTTTGAGTTCTTTGGAGGAAAAGTGGGATATAAGTGCAGTAATAAATAAGAATCTATTGCACACCTCTGAGATCTATGGCATAGAGCTCTTCTATTCACACAGCAAATGCTGAGGAGCAACTGCATACCCACAGCTGCTGCATGAAATGTGAGCCAGCTGAGGGAAAGAAGACACCTGCCATACGTTCATTGTGTGATCCTGGGCAAATCACTCTCCCTGGGCTTAGTTGTTTGCTGTGAAACTGGCATAGCAACCACCTTCTCCATGAGGCTGCCGTAAAAGCATTATTCAGCTGGGAAAATGTAACCGATTTTAAGCTTCTGTGACCTCATGCTAGAAAACTGAATCTTACAGTGGGGAGAAAGTATTTGGAAACACGTATAATTTCTGTTCTGAGCCTTTTGTTCTTAGAAACAAGAAATATTACTTAACTAGGCTGCTCTCCATCCTCCTTTTATAGAGAGCAGCAACCTACCTAAAAAACTGTCTGGAGAAGCCTGGGATAGCACTTTGTGACTTTAACACAATCTTCTGTAAGTGGACTGAACATGCACACACACAAATAGTGTGCCTATAGTCAAGAAATTTTCTACAGAACAACCTCTTTGCAAGTACCCAAAGCTGCTTAACTTTTGAGGCAGCCTCTCCATGGTGATACCTTTAAATAACCAGAAACATCAAATAGCAGAAATACATAAATAAAGAAATTGAACCCACCCTTACAGACAACTAACATCCATTTTCTTGATGTGCTTTGGAGGCAGCAGAGCAACACAGAAGATCTGGTCACGGCTTAAGAGATCCAGTGTGAGCATGTTATGGCTGCAGGGCTGCAAGCTGAGAAACAGAACCTCAAAAATTACCTGACATTAGAATGCAAGCTTATTCTTATTCTTATCCATCTTGACAGTAACTTCTTGGGATACCAATGAAAACTTTGTTAAGGGATAACCTAATGTGAATCTGACACTTTTCTAAAATTACTCTGTCCCCTAAATGCCACAGGAAGAAAGCCAATATGGCCGAGTGGTTAGAATGTCTGGCTAGGGCTGGGGAGACACAGGTTCAAATCTCTCAACCTTGAAGCCCACCCAGTTGGCTTTGGACTTGTCCCCAACTCCCTCAGACCAAACAAACACCCAGAGTTTTTATAAGATTAGAATAGGAGCAGACAGGAGCAGAACAGCTCACAGGATGGGCAGGACAAACGTGATAAAGTAAAGAATGAGTCTGCTGCCATGCTCCACAATCCAATGGCAGGACAGCTAAGAAGATAGTTAATGGTTTATTTAACATAACACCTTTAAAATGTTGCTTTCAAAAGCTTTACAAATGGAACACACGTGAATGACCCCTTATACAACAAAAATGTTTTAATTATATACATCTTATACCCATTCACCCAACAGCTATCACTCAGTGCAGCTCTGTTTTTAAACAAGGTTCAAAGTATCGCCGAAGGAACAGTGTCAAAATGCTTCCTCCAACTGTAGGAATGAATTTTTCAGAAATAGGTATAATGAATTTTCATTGAAATAGACACAAAATTTTAACACTAGGTGGACCAACATTTGATAGATATTTATCACAATGCAAAAAAGGAAGGCAGGCTTTCCCTTTACCAGCCCAACAAATGTAGCAAAAGTTAGTCCAAGGTAGAACAGGAGTTCCTCTCCCCTCTCAGAGGCAGCTTTGGGGAGTGGGGTAGAGAAAGACACTAAAAAGGACTAGGCAAATATCATCAACATAAATCATCAGGCCATTGACAAAGGCCTCACAGTCCTGGAGATGCAGTACTTCAAGTTCCATTCTCGCATGTGTTGGTAAAGCAACTTTGTTCCATACCACCTTCCCCAAGATTGAGTCACTGTCTAGTTACAGCTGATCCTGCAGTGTTTTAAGATGCTGTCCAACCAGTGAGTACACAAATTGTAAAATCCACTGTCCGCATACCTCCATTCAATTTCTCTTAATATTTTGCACTCAGAACTCCTTATACTGCAGACTGTAAATGTCAGTTTGTGCCAAATACATTATGTAATTCCAAATAACAGGTATTACTAATGGGTACATTGTGCCTCTTCAAGAATGATAGAAGTTTCTATTTTTAACCTAGAACATCTCTAGAAGATACTCAAACCAATGACGACTTCTGCATTTTAGTGAAGACATGGCAGTTATCCTGCCTGGTGGAAATTTTAGACCTTCATGGCATACACAGATAGGACAGCCAAACATCGCCACTGGCTTAAAACTTGGGCCACATATTTAGTACCTATATGCTTTCTGGCATTCATTTCCCCTATAAAACAATCCTAGAGTATTCTCCCTTGCAAGGATCCATTGCACACAGACCTTAGCATATTGATCTACACATGCAAGATGGGCTATCCGTCTTGACAAACATTCTTTCAAAAAGAATGTATGCTTGACCTTCCACCACTGACCTGGCATATGAACCAGTTGCAACACCTCAGAACCCCTGCCTGACTGGATCTTTCAGAATACAAGCTTGCATTTTACTACCCTTTAGTAAATTATATAAATCAAACTACTGGAAGGAAGGAACCTTCAGATTATTATAGTTTAGAAGCTCTTTCTACATTACTTAAATATACAGACCTGTTCTTGGTGGGTTGCAACTTTTGCCTAGCCAGTTATGTACAAGACCAGGAAGACTGAGGAGATACTCAATGCATCCAGACTATACAGATTCTGTCCTGCTAACACAGAAAGCTGTTACGAAGTATCCTTCAAGGTCTGAAATGAACCAAAAAGGATTGTGACTATCCCTCCATCTTTTTCTCTGGTGATGGGGAGAGGGAAGATGCTCACTGAGACTGTGTTCATACTAAGTCCCTACCAACAGTGTTTAAATGGAGATTGCTCTTGTTTTGTGATAGATGTTATTTAAACTGGCCAGTTTTTCATTATCTGCAAAACTAAGACATTTTGTTCCACCTGGAACCCCAAACTTCAAAAAATGGCTGTCTGCTTTCTGTAGACAAACAAGAGTTCTGTCCCCTATCCCTAACAAGCAGGAAAGAGGAGGTGCGATGTTGATGCTCTTCACATGCTGCAAGACAATCTGCAGCTGGGGTCTAATTCTGGCACCAAGGTTCTAGGAGACACAGTTGTGATGTACTGTATATTTGCACAGAGCTAAACATGGAAACTAGAAATGGGTGTCTATGTTTCTGATGAGTATGAAAAGTGTCCTATGAGCCCTACAAGGGCCTGTAATACAAACCTGTGGAATTAAAGCAGAAGAATTCAAACAGTTGCTTCCTAAGAAAATAAAGGAGAACATCATCTTAATTAACCAGTCAGAGCATCTGAAAGCACAGAGGGCACTATATTCCCATAAATCCCAGGTAGAGCTGGCTTATCCTCTCAGTTCAGTAGGGAGGATGCTCTAGGACTCACTCCTCTCCAACAGGAAGATTATCTTCAATCCGTCTGATAAATTTCATCCTTATTTCAGTGACTCCATCTCCTTTTAATGTGTCCTGGACAAATTTGACATCCACGGCCATCTGAACCTGTGACATGGGAGAGAAAAATCAAAATACTTTTGAGATACTTATCTAGCACAGTTCCCCAAATTGCTTGGCCTCTTTCAATCTTGTTGCAAGGACAGAGATTAAGAAACTCTACCCCATTATTCTACCAAAAGGTTATCCCCACCCTTTACTAAACTCACCTAAGATTTACAGCAGCAAAAAACCCCACCTCTCTAGCCCAGAAGGCTCTTACATTCCCCAGTTAACCACAATTCTAGCCAATGTTCTGTTAACAAAGATCGCAAAGTACAGGCAAACTCCCACACCCCATAGAACTGATGTATTAGACTCTTAATCATAGGGCTGTCGGTTGGAGCGCAGTGTTGGGCAAAAAAGATGCCTGCATTGTAAGGAGTTGGGCCAGATGACCCTCATGGTCTCTTCCAACAATATAACTTTTTGATTCTATATACAGTGGTACCTTGGGTTACAGACGCTTCAGGTTACAGACTCCACTAACCCAGAAATAGTACCTTGGGTTAAGAACTTTGCTTCAGGATGAGAACAGAAATCGCACGGTGGCGGTGCGGCAGCAGCGGGAGGCCCCATTAGCTAAAGTGGTACCTCAGGTTAAGAACAGTTTCACGTTAAGAATGGACCTCCAGAACAAATTAAGTTCTTAACCCGAGGTACCACTGTGCCATCCTGACCACCCTCTCTTCTGCTTTCAGGCAACTGGAATTTAGTATACACAACTCCATTAATTTAACTCGGAAAACTCTGAATTTGCAGACCAATGGCTACATGTATTCTACATGTCTACAAGAACCGAATATCTTGTTTATTTCATTTATATCCAACCTCAAAGTGGCATTCATAAAATATTCTTTGTATGAATGAATGAATTGATTTATTTCAGTCACTGACTACAGTGACTACTATTTGTATAATTATATTTTCTTATACACACACAATTTATATTCCATGCATTGTCACAGCACCCTGGTGCAGGTTGCAATCAATAAATGTCAGTTATAAGTTAAAAACACAATACACAATCCTTCACTCTCACCCTAACTGCTATTATATGGCAGTTCAATAGTTTGAGAATCAAAGTTTTTGTTAAAATAAAAGGATAAAGCTGCAAGGATTGCCAGGAAGAACCCAAACATATAATGCTTAATAAAACATTCTGAAACTAGGACAGCACTGGAATATATTTTGATTTATCAGGCGACGCTGGCATGTGAGTGGCCTTGAACAGCCCTCTATTCCTTCTCATTTGATTATCCTCCCTGTCTATGACACTCGTGATTCTCTCCCCCTTATTGTTCCCCAATAGGTGAATAAATATAGTTGTAAATCTGAATCTGGACTCTAATGAGATACAGAAACCAGCCCCCCCCCAATTTTCTATGCATTCCATCACTGAGAAAGTATGTCTAATTAGTATCCCCCTTTCCTCACCATTTCCAGGGCTCCTCGCAGCACACCACACAATAGGTTAGAGTAAATGAGAGATGAATGGTTGTCAGGAAGCTCCACAAAGTCCACCAGTGGGTTGTTTTCCAGGATAAGGGAGAATTCATCACCTGCTGGACTCCAGTTTGTGATGCTCGGGGTGATACCCAAGTACATTTTAAATGCCACCTGCCAAACAAGACAAGCACAATGGACTAGGCTTACACAGCACAATGTTTAGCATGAAACTCTTTTACGGGTAACTAAAGATCTGGTCAGGGATGCGGGTGGCGCTGTGGGTAAAAGCCTCAGCGCCTAGGGCTTGCCGACCGAAAGGTCGGTGGTTCGAATCCCCGCGGCGGGGTGTGCTCCCGTTGCTCGGTCCCAGCGCCTGCCAACCTAGCAGTTCGAAAGCACCCCCGGGTGCAAGTAGATAAATAGGGACTGCTTACTGGCGGGAAGGTAAACGGCGTTTCCGTGTGCTGCGCTGGCTCGCCAGATGCAGCTTGTCACACTGGCCACGTGACCCGGAAGTGTCTCCGGACAGCGTACGGGCCAGTCTTGACAGACTCTGGGGTTGTGTGCCCATCTCACTTAAGAGGCCGGGGGCCAGCGCTGTCCGGAGACACTTCCGGGTCACGTGACCAGTGTGACAAGCTGCATCTGGCGAGCCAGCGCAGCACACAGAAACGCCGTTTACCTTCCCGCCAGTAAGCAGTCCCTATGTATCTGCTTGCACCCGGGGGTGCTTTCGAAGTGCTAGGTTGGCAGGCGCTGGGACCGAGCAACGGGAGCGCACCCCGCCGCGGGGATTCGAACCGCCGACCTTTCTGTTGGCAAGCCCTAGGCGCTGAGGCTTTTACCCACAGCGCCACCTGCGTCCCCAGGGGTACCTTTACCTTTACCTTAAAGATCTGGTCAAAGAACCAGAAGCAATTCTGTTACGTAACATACCTGATGCAAACCTCTTTCTACACATTAGACCAGGCTTCCCCAACCTTGCGCCCTCCAGATGTTTGGGACTATAATTCCATTCAGACCCAGCCAACATGGCTGTGCCAGCTGTGGCTAATGGAAGGTATAGTTCAAAATATCTGAAGGGCACCAGATTGGGGGAGGCTGCATTAGACAGTTAATGAAAATTTGAACAGAAGCAGTAGAAAGCATTTGCCCATGCCAGATCCAATATATCCTCTCCTAGAAAACAGTGTGGTCCAGCAACATTTGATCCTAGATTGTGTTTTTAGACAGATATAAGAAAGGAGGCATATGTTGCTGCCATTAAAAGGTTCAGCATGATGCCATTATGAAACATGTTATGTGGCAGGAAAATTGTGTCTTTAGACATCTATATCCCCACAATTGAAATCTTATAATAGGCTAGTATATTGGAAACAGAGGAGAATAATCAAAGACAGGCATCACCTTAGCTATTACATCTGCAGTTTCTCGGAAGTCATGGCATCTCCCGACATTGGATCGGGCCAGGAAATCTTCAACGAGTCGAACGCCTATGTTGTAGCCCCTGTCAAGGCAGCCAAAGAGCAGCATGCTATAAAACTGACAGTGTAAGAGAGTCCAACTTGAGTCTAACATTATAGGGATAGAAAGTAGAAGGGAGAAAGTCTGTTCCCTCCCTTTTCTTCAAAAACTCCAGTGAATTCAGAAAAATAAGATTCATTCTGCCTAGAGATGTAAAAATTCTGGAAATTTTGAAACCATGCAAAAAACCCTGCCCTCCTCCCCGGGCTTTTTTGGGGAAACAATTATCCAGGGTGAAACAGGAAAGAATGTCTCTCCCCGCCTCTAAATTTTCCCAGCTTTTTTCTGGGCCTTCACATCTCTAATTCTGCCAAGTGGATGTCCCACAGAAAGAGATCATCCACTACCCCTAGCTACTGATATTTTGTAAAGATTCCACTCTGCCTCCACTGGTTTACTTACATTTTGTCAAGCTGCTTGTTGACATCTTCATCATTCTCATAGTCCTTGCACAGCTGAGTGACCAAAGCGCCATAAGTCAGAGTGAAGAGCTCCGAACTCTAGACAAATTCAAAATGCATTTAATTTAGACCAAGATAGGACAATCTACACATGTTTAAGGACAGCCACAAAGAACAGTTGGGATTGGCATGGAGAAATGAAATGGGCAAGGAAGCTTCAGCCTCATAGGAACACACTAAGCACTGAATTCTGCTGGTGTCTCCAGCTTCAAATTTAAAACACATTTGTCTTGGGGGTGGGGCCTACTAACGTGGTCAGAAGTTTGACAATCTTCAGCTGCTCATCAAAAACAGTTATTCCATCTTCAGCACTTGTAACGTAACATTCTGCTTAAGAGCTCAAAGAAACAACAAAGCCTGCTTGGTGTTAGGATGGATGTGCAGTAGAGATGTGCACAGCATCAACAAAACAAAAAGAAGAACAAACTATATAATGTCTCCCTCACATTTCCCCAAGCATGAAGTAAGTAAAATATACAAGCAAATTAAATCCTTTGATTATCGGAATTGTAGTTACACAAATACCTTCCTGTTAAAAACTGAAACCTGTCAGGATTGAAAGGTCTGTGAAGTAAGTGTCAGCTATATAAAGTATGGTCTGCTTTAGGTTTTATTAAGGTTTCATTTTATACAGCAAAATGTCTAGTCTCAGATTAAGAAACCTATCACCTACCATGAGATGCATAGATGCGGAAGGTGAAATGAATGGCAAATACCAATACTACAGAATGAAAGCAGCAGGCAAGCAGAAAGGGAGAAAAAAAGAGACAATGTCAGAGTTTAGTGAGACAACACAGATCACACCACGTTCTCACAAGCTCAACACAAAGTCAAAGTGCAGAAGAAAGAGTCAAGTCAAATTTGGAATTAAGGTACGTTAAATGTTATTTAGGATTAAAACATGCTATTTCTATCTAGCAGCAACTGATGAAGCCAGCCGTCAAGACATCTCTCAGAAGGCTAAGAGATGCTGGTTTTGCTTGGTTTTAAAAAGGCAGAAAAGGCCAACTGTCTTACAACCCCAGATTCATCTTTGAAATAAGAAGGGTCTGTTTTAGAGAGTAACAGGACTTAAAAAGTGAAAATCAGAAGACTCAGCCAGTTCATGTATGGGGAAGGAACTTAACAAGCAAAAAAGAGAATTAACAGGTTAGTAAACGCATTGGCAAGGCAGTTGAACAGAACAGTTTATGAAGAATGCCTGGATGCTACCAATCCAAGGTATTGTCATTAAATTATATAAAGTTTGAGCATTTCCTAGAGTTGTGGAGTTGGAAGGAACTCCAAGGGTCATACAGTCCAATCTCCTTCAATGCACCTATCACTAGGTAGTAAAAAGAAGAAATTTAAGTTGGTGCACATATAAGTTCACCATTTTGGATCAATTGTTCAATAATCATCTTACAAAAAAACAAAGACATGAACGAAAAACAACTTGGAAGTTTATGGTCCAAGCCAGGTGGATAAAAATCAATGGTTTAAAAATAAATAAATTAAAAATGGATTTTTTAAGATTTAAATCGGATTTTTAAAATAAAATTCTTTTGGAGGAAAAATATATCTAATTAATTTACATTATAGTCCAAAGACTATTCATCAGGAAATAAGGATTTGTTTTAAGTTTTTCATGTATGCTAAAACTCAGTCTAAGTTTTGTTTGTTTTAAAAAATGTTTAACCACATCAGTTAACAAACATATGCTATAATGTTATTGTTCTACTTAAATAAATTGTTTAAATTGTTATTAAGGAAATGATTATTTTTCTCCTTCCAATAAAGTACAGCAGAAAAGTTGTCCAATTATAAACAGTTAAATTATTAAACCTCACAATAATTTCATAATTATCTGTCTATGTATTTCTAATAGTATAACCAAATCAGTAATTTTTGATATAACTGTAAAAACTACTCTGAAAATTTATTATTCAAAAAATGACACCTTCATCTGGTTGTAAATATTAAGCTTATACCAGCAAGATTGAATCACTCTGTAAAAAAAATGATTTAAATCAAGTCTTACTGACTAGTGATTTAAATCAATTTGATATAAATCAAATCCACTCTTGTTCCAAATATGCAAAAACCTCTTCCAACAGCATTATTAAAAGACTACCTGATAAAAACAGACTGCCTAAGTTGTAAAGCTGGTTGGCCACTGCAATTAACTGGAAAACATAGTAAAAAGTTGCAGTTTACACATGCTTCAATGGCACATGCTTTAATCCTGTCAAGTGTCATAATCCCATTACTGTTGTGGAGGAAAAGCAGCACTTAGGCCCTTAAGTACACCTAAGGCAGTGATGGCCAAACTTGGCCCTCCAGATGTTTTTGGGACTACAATTCCCATCATCCCTGACCACTGGTCCTCTAAGCTAGGGATGATGATGGGAGTTGTAGTCCCAAAAACAGCTGGAGGGCCAAGTATGGCTATCACTGACCTAAGGTCAAGAGAGGAGTTAATAAAATAAGCATTGCACTTTAAGCACCAAAGGACAGCAATGGCCACAAATGAAATGTATTAGCATTAAGCTATATTAGCATTAAGCAAATTAAAATAGCTTCTGTATGTGTTTGCCAACTATTCACAACTCTACTGGATAATTTTAAAGGGCCACAATCCTGCTACAGTTTTAGAATAGTGGATATTCGCAGGGTTAGAGCCCGATGAAAAGGAAAAAAAGACCAAATAAATCCAGCAGTGATTCCCCCCCACCCCGAACATTCTTTGGAGATTTGTTTTTTTGTTTTTTTTTAAAATTATTAAAGGTTTTAACAATACCATACCAAACATATAAAACACCATCACCAACTTAGATAAGGGAAAAAAAGGGAAAAGAAAAGAAAAACAGAATACTAACCACACACAAACCAGATACAATACAACATTATTACTTTTCATTGAAACAATCTTCCATAAACCTTCCTTTTGGACTTCCTCACATCTCCCTTTCCTGCGTTCCCGTTTCTAAAATTTATATTCAGTAGTACTTCACCTTCTTTCAAATCTTATTATATACTTTCCAAAAAATTTTATCTCCAAATTTTGAACTTTGTTTTCAAATACTTAGATATTTGAGTTTCATCTGCTAATTCATAATTTCAACCTTATTCTTAAAGTTAGCTTATTTTCATATATCTTTCCGCTTAGTTTACTAATGCCAAATTGTTTTCTATCCTGCATCCTCTTAACATTCATACAATTTACAATATTTTTGCAAATAATCTTTAAACTTTTTCCAGTCCTCTTCCACTGTCTCTTCTCCCAGGTCTCGGATTCTGCCAGTCATTTCAGCCAATTCCATATAGTCTATCAGTTGCATCTGCCATTCTTCCAGGGTGGGTAGATCCTGGGTCTTCCAATGCTTTGCAATGAGTATTCTTGCTGCTGTTGTCGCATACATAAAGAAAGTTCTATCCTTCTTTGCCACCATTTGGCCGACAATGCCCAGTAGGAAGGCCTCTGGTTTCTTAGGAAAGGTATATTTAAATACCCTTTTTAGTTTGTTATAGATCATTTCCCAGAAGGCCTTAACCCTTGGGCACGTCCACCAGAGGTGAAAGAATGTCCCTTCAGTCTCTTTACATTTCCAACACTTGTTATCAGGCAAATGGTATATTTTTGCAAGCTTGACTGGGGTCATGTACCATCGGTATATCATTTTCATAATATTTTCTTTCAAGGCATTACATGCCGTAAATTTCACACCGGTGGTCCACAAACGTTCCCAGTCAGCAAACATAATGTTATACCCAATGTCCTGTGCCCATTTTATCATAGCTGATTTGACCGTTTCATCTTGTGTGTTCCATTTTAACAGCAGATTATACATTTTTGAAAGTACCTTGGTTTTCGGTTCTAACAGTTCTGTTTCTAATTTCGATTTTTCCACCTGGAAACCTATTCTTTTGTCCAAATTAAAAACCTCCCTAATCTGAGCATAATGTAGCCAGTCTCGCACTTTATCTTTTAGCTTCTCAAAACTCTGCATTCTCCAAGTATCTCCATCTTTTTCTAATATTTCCCAATATTTCGGCCATTTGGCCTCCATATTGAGTCTTTTCTGAGCCCATTCTTTGGAGATTTGTCACAGTATCATAATTTGAGGTTTTGTAGCAATATCCCCATTTTTGTTGAACTACTATCACAGAACCAGGTTAGAAACAGACATAAGAATGAAACATGAGAAAGGCACCAAGACCAACACACACACACGCCTGAATTAAAACATTTAGCACATAACACAACATATTTCTATATAATCTAAAGCAGCATTCACCAACATGGCATGCTCTAAATGTTTTAGAATGGAACTCTCATCAGCCCCAGTCAGCATGGCTTATTAACATGAAGCACTATCTCACTACAGCTTAAAAATCAGGTGACAATCAGCATGATTGCCCATTTACATAATTTTCAGAGATCTTGCATAAACGTAAGGGCCACTTTACACAATGTAGATAAAGCATCCTTTATTTCCATCAGGGTTGACAGTAAGGGCTCGTCCACACTTCCGCTTGCCCCGTGCCTTAGAAAGCACAGATCCGAGCATTTTTTCTGCTTGTCCCACACTTTATAGCCATGGGTTTGAGTGCCTTTGCCTTTGCCCTGCCACATTCACATGGAAAACCTGTTAGCGATAAATCGAAGCAAACATCAATCCAGAGAACACTCTATTGATGTTTGCTCCGAATCAGTGGTAAACAGCAGGTTGCGCTGGGGGGAACCATTGAAGCAAATGGAAGTGTGGGTGTGCCCTAAGTGTTTCGAAGTATGTTTTGAAGACCAAATTTAGCTCTTCAACAGAGGGATCCTAAAACTGAAGACTAGGAGACTTCACTTTTGGGGATTACGTGCTCTCCAGCAACTAGGTAATGCTACCTATTTCAGATTCTACTGACTCCTTATCTAGTACAACCCCCTAAAATTAATTTAATGGACCTGCACATAAAGCAAAGCACAATACAAACACAAACAATTTAATATCCCAAGTGCCTGACAAACCAACAAGATGATGGGTTGGATTACTTGGAGATCTACTCTTTCTCCAAAGAATCCATTACATCTTGTTGGCCAAAATGGAGAATAACTTATGCCACATGGAAAAGCTCCACTGCACAGCACTATGAAGATGATCACTGCCACAGAGTAGGATCCAAAATGAGCTCTAATTTATAGTTAACCAGTTCTAGTTCAAGCCTTCCTACACCACGTTCTAGAGGCCTATTCAACTCCCATTTCTTTGCTTCCATCTACCTAGTGAACCATGGTCTGCAGCAGAGGGCACTTAAGAGCAGTTGTGTCACCTGCCCAAGTAATCTTGAAATTCCAAAGAGCAACCAAGATGTTGGCAGGAGCACTAGCCATGCTTGGTGGAACCTGCCCAAGGGCATTTAAGAATGTATCATGACCCATCAACCTCTAGGGGTGGACCATTTAAACAGCCTCTCCCATCTATAGAGAGAAAAGCACCACCATAGTAAGCCTAAAGCTCTGGCCGAAGTGGTGTAAGACAAGACGGTTAAAGGAAAGCCCCCCACTATCTTCCTGCCCAGATGAAAGCACCAGATCCAAATATCTCCAACATGAGAATCAGGTGGATTATATGCTGGGACAGCTCAAGAACTGTCATGGCAGTCATGAAGTCCAGAGTCACTGCCTCGGCCTGTGTTTCAGGGTCCTCCAGCACCACCATCTAAGGGGACTTCAACATCTAGTCTCAGCCCACTTCTGTCAGCTCAGATAGGGAGATGGTTAGTCAGTGGGATGGATGGTAAGCACCAAAAGAATCTCTGATCTGTCTCAATTGCGCAAACATTCAAATCCACTGCCAGAAGATTGCCTATGAAATGATGCGGCCTTCAGACTGAAAAAGTGCCCATGACCTACCCATCTTCACAAGAAGTCTAGTAGAGAGAGATGGAATTCTTAGAAATCACTGCAACCCTCCTCCATTAACCCTAAGTGGCTGCTACATCAAAAATCCAGGTGGACAAAGCTAAGAAATTTCAGCTCCACCAAGCTCATCTACCCACATCTCATTAATACAGATCAGTAACGCAGGGATTCTTGTCCATAGTTAAATGAAGGATAGTTTATGCTTTCTCTGTGTCTTCATAACCATTATCTCAGTAATTCTTTCAACAATCCTATAATGTAGGTAGGTCAGTATTATCCACACACTCTCCATATTTTTATGTTGTGAACTGCTCTGTAATCTCCAGGTGAAGGGCAGTATATGAATGAAGAAGAATAATACAGTTGGAGAAGTCAAGAAATAGTGGTTTAGGATTAAGGCATAGACAGCCAAGATTAGTAAACTCTAAACTCCATTATCATGGAAATCCTTACACCAACCCTATCAGGTAGGTCAGTAGGATAATTTACCCTATAGTACTGATGGGAAGATTAAAAAGCACTATTTGTCTATGACCAGCTCAGTAATCCATGACTGAGGTGAAATTTGAACAGGGGGCTTCTCAGTTCACAGGGTTTGGCACAGCCCCATAGACCTAATACTTTACTGCCCTGGAAGATTAAGGACAGACAAAAAGAACACAGCCCATAGTTAAACTATAGAATTCACTCCCACAAGAGGCAGTGATGGCCACTAGTTTGGACAGCTTCAGAATACAATTATGGAGGATAAGGCTATCAACAGCTACTAGCCACTTTTGTATGCTATTTGTATGGCATGATAATGTACTTTCAAAATGAGGGTGTTAAGAAAAAAAAGCAATCTCCAACTAGTGCATATCCCCAGATGCTTGTGCATTTATTAAGAAACCACTACACTGCCCTTGACCTAAAAAATGTCACAGAGGAATTTACAACAAAATAAGGCGATATAAAACACAGTATGAAATAATATTTAAAATATTAATAATGAAAATTACATAATTATCAACTTAATTTTAAAGCAATTTAATCCATTAGCTCCGAAAAGCCTGATAAAAATGAGGCATTTTTTTTAACCTGGTGTCTGAAAGACATCTAAATGACCAAATTTTGCAGAGGTGATGGGAGGCACAATCAGGTTGCTGCCACTGCCAGGAGGCTGAGGGCCACCAAGAGACTTTGTACTCTCTGGCCTCCCAGACAGAAGAACATGATGGGAAGTGGGGAGACCAGCCTGGCTCCATCCACGGGAGGCAAAGCTGCAGCTACTCCAACCCTGACTTTCCTCTTCCCTGTTCATACAGGGATGTCATTTTTGCATGGTGGTGTTTAAATCGTGAGCCTACAAGCAGGGCCTCCTCCCTCACAATTCAATCTATGCCTACAATTCAAATTGCAGGTGTTATTATAAGGAAATAATAATTAATAATAATAATAATAATAATAATAATAATAATAATAATAATAATAATAATAGCAGCTGCCTGTCTTGGGGTAACTGAAGCGAGCAAACCCGCTCTTTCGGGATAGTTTTATTCGGACTTTATCCTCTTTCGTGCCTTCAACAGCGGTAAGCTAATAAGAGGAGGAATGAAGGAACAAACATGGCCCTATTCAGGGTGGGAGGAAAACACACAAGGTAGAAGTTAAGCCTCTCCGCTAAGCCTCCTAGCTGTCCATGGCGGAGGCGTCTCCCTCCCGCCCCTCAGGGCTCCCTTCCTCCTCAAGACCTGTCGCCACCCCCTCGACTCCCCCCACCATTACCATTTTCTTGCTTTCCGCGCCCCCGCGGCTGCCCTGCCGCGCCATTCTGCCTCCTCCGCTGTCGTCGGTCTCCTCAGCCCGGCGGTTTGCGAAAAACGGGTCGCGGCGATCGGTACGACAATCCTCAGAGGGGGAAGGAAACCGCCCGGCCTTGACTTTTAAGTCGACGCCGCTCCTCCCACCCTGGGAACAGAACTACTACCCCCAAGGTGCACCGCGCGGACGCCCTGTTCCCGTTTCTCTCGCGCGGCATGCCGGGAAGCTAGAGGCTTCGCGCAAAACTACAGTACACTGTATTTAGACGGTTGCATTTGGCAAAGGGCGGTTTGATTCCCTACCCAGCATGCTTTGGAGAAGGCCCGGGAGACGACGCTGTACTACAGCTCCCAGCATGCTCCTGTAGCCGCTTTGCAAAATGCCATAGAGCCGTGCTCGGTTACCAATGTGAAGCTGAGCAGTAGAAAAACGGGACGCGTAGAGCGGCTCCACATTTCGCAGACGTAAGAAAAGATGTAGAGTAAACCATGTTATTTTCTCGACGGGTCATTTGCGGGTTAAATGGGAGAATCAGTGTTTTTGTTCCTGGGGGCAGAACAAAGATCATAGTCATAGACATCAATAGAGAAAGACAAGATTTTAGCTTCCCTGTGCTCGGACAGCAGAGTATCCACCTAGAAACTAAAATAAGAAGGAAATAATTTTCACTGCAAAAATGTGATTTTGGAATAGTTGTTGGAGTTTTTTTAGGAATATTTTGTTTTTAAATTTTAAATCCTAAAATACTACTATTATTGGTAACACCATCACAACATGGTGATGATTTCGCCACTCTTAGAAATGACTTCACTGATACAATGTTGCTACTAACCTGTGACTTAAATATTAAATAAATATGAGTGGGTGGGGACTTAAAGCACTGAGAAGGAAGTGTCCTGCTTATGTTGATTCCCATGACATATAAAATACTTAATGCATTCAAGACCAACAACAACCATGAAACAAGGACAGTTTGCTGCCCTTTTCATAACACCCAACACCAGGTGACGACCTTGTTCTGTCTTAATGTGGAGATGGGAAACCTGTGGCCCTCCAGATATGTCTGGACCACAATTTCCTTTACCCCTTGCCATAGTGCATTGCCTTGTTTGTTTAGTCGTGTCCGACTCTTTGTGACCCCATGAACCAGAGCACGCCAGGCACTCCTGTCTTCCACTGCCTCCCGCAGTTTGGTCAAACTCATGCTGGTAGTTTCGAGAATACTGTCCAACCATCTCGTCCTCTATTGTCCCCTTCTCCTAGTGCCCTCAATCTTATCAGCATCAGGGTCTTTTCCAGGGAGTCTTCTCTTCTCATGAGGTGGCCAAAGTATTGGAGCCTCAGCTTCAGGATCTGTCCTTCCGGTGAGCACTCAGGGCTGATTTCCTTAAGAATGGATAGGTTTGTTCTTCTTGCGGTCCATGGGACTCTCAAGAGTCTCCTCCAGCACCATAATTCAAAAGCATCAATTATTTGGCGATCAGCCTTCTTTATGGTCCGACTCTCACTTCCATACATCATTACCGGGGAAAATAGCTTTAACTATACAGACCTTTGTTGGCAAGGTGATGTCTTTGCTTTTTAAGATGCTGTCTAGGTTTGTCATCGCTTTTCTCCCAAGAAGCAGGCATCTTTTAATTTCGTGACTGCTGTCACCATCTGCAGTGATTATGGAGCCCAAGAAAGTAAAATCTCTCACTGCCTCCATTTCTTCCCCTTCTATTTGCCAGGAGGTGGTGGGCCCAGTCTTAGTTTTTTTGATGTTGAGCTTCAGATCATATTTTGCGCTCTCTTCTTTCACCCTCATTAAAAGGTTCTTTAAATCCTCCTCAATTTCGGACTTCCGGAGGCGGCGCGTTCAGCAATGGCGGTCCTCTTCAGCTGCTGAAGAGGAGCTCCGCGGAAAAGGGTCGTGCGCTGCGGCACAGCGACGACCCACCAAGAGAAACCACGGGTAGAGTGAGCCCGTGGCCGTGGGGTTCGGCGGGCACCAGAAGCGACCTCGGAAACGCAGAAGAGACCCCGTAAGGGGCCTTGGAACGTGGAGGGGGTAGCGGTGCTGTGAATCCATCGCTCTTTCCGCGGAAGTGAAGCCGCGCGGCTGCTGCTGATCGGCGCTGACCTTTCTTCTTTGAACAACAGAATTGAAACAACCTACTCGTGAGTAAGAAACCTGAGGCTTTAACTGAACTTAATTTGGCGAATTTTGGCTGAAAGCGGGAGATGCTAAAAAGGAAGTCAGCCTTCCGCTCTGTTTAAAGTATCGAGCAAAGTCCCTTTAAAGTTGAAGCGCTGAAAGGAACTTAAAAGGAGTTGGAATGTACTCTGCAAATTCGGCTTTGATTGATTAGAAGTTAAAGAAAGGACATAAAAGTTTTATAAGTGAGCAAAGACTGTGATCCTCTTTCTATTCCCATGTGGATTACAAAGTTTTGAAACCCTGCTCTCGGTCTGATCAGATACAAGTAACATCGGACTGCGGTAACTGTAGATAAAATTATTAAGTTACATTGGGCTACTTTGTAAATTGCAAAAAGGAACTGTTGCACGCACCTCGGCAAAGAACTTTTATTCTCTGCAGTTTAAACTGAATGTGAAGGGTTCCCCCCCTGCTTCGGATAACTCTTTTTTTTCTTGTTGTGGTTGTGGGAACTTAATGGTGGAAATTTCCTATCCTTCTCCCTAATTTCTGGGGAGCTCCCCCTGCTGGATTGTGGAATTATTAGTCTCTGAGAACTGCTACTGGTCTTGGAATTTTTTCTATCTGGATGTTTACCTTCTTTGGGATTGCTTTTCCCATGGGATTTACAATTTGACCTTGACACTGGGACAGCTGTGGAATGAGTGGTTCAGCAAAAACAAGGGCCGGAAAGAAAGCAAAACAAACGGAACTTTTACAATCAACTTTGCCTGTGCAGTTACGCAGATCATCTGTTCCAATTTTGACAGGTCTGCAGGAAGGACAATCTATACAGCCTACTCTTGGAGAGATGGCTGCTGGAGGGCTAGATCCTGTCTCTAAAGAAATATTGGAGCAGTTGGCAGCACTGAATAAGAAAGCTGACGAACAAGCAGCTAGGTTTGATGAACAAGCTGCTAAATTTGACCAGGTGACAGCCTCAATTAATAAATTGACAGACCAAGTCACTAAAAATACACAGGCAATAGGTAACATTGAAAAGTCTACAACAGAAAATCGAAAACTAGTCGAGGAAGTAAATACAAAAGCAGACGAAAACAAAAAGAGGATAGAGGAATTAAGAGGGGAAGTTAGACCACTGAGTAGACAGGTTTCTGAACAACAAGTGTACCTGTCCCTTGCAGAACTGAAAAATAGGGAAAATAATCTCAGAATTAGAAACATCCCAGAATTAGAAAAAGAGGACCTGATTGGCTTTTTGACAACAGAAATAGCCAAATTCTGGGGTCTGGCAGAAGAGAAAGACTTTAAAATCGTCACCGCTTTTAGATTAGGAAGAGTGGCTAAGAAGGATAAACCAAGAGATTGCCTGATCATTCTGAGATCTAGGCAAGAAAAAGAAAACATACTCGGCTTGCATTTTAAAAACTCATTGGTGATTCAGGGAAAAAAGGCAGAAATCTTCAGAGATATACCAAAACAGCTGTTGGATTTAAGAGCTACATATAAAGACCTAGCAACTTTACTGAGAAACAACACAATCCCTTACAGGTGGGAATTCCCTCAAGGACTATCTTTTACTTTGAAAGGGGAGAAGGTAAGAATTAGAACAGCAGAGGAGCAAGAAAAGTTCCTAAAAGACCACGGGGAGGACCTTCGGAAAGGAATAGCAGGTGTCTGGCCACCTCCTTCGTTTGGACTGAACCCGGCTCCACCTCCAGACAAAAACGATAAAGGAGACACCCCAACAGGCCAATAACTGGTCCGAGATGTCTCTGCAGCTTCTCAGTTGGAACATTAATGGCGCAAATTCTCCTGAAAAAAGGAAAAAGATTTTCCATATTTTGAGAAAAGAACAACTAGATATCATTTGCCTTCAAGAAACACATGTGACTAGGCTCCACAGGAGAGTGTTAACCAACAAGAGACTAGGCCAAGAATTTATCTCATCAGACAAGGTTAAAAAAAGAGGAGTAGTGATTTATGCAAAGGAGACCCTAGTACCAAAATTGATTTTTAAAGATGAACAAGGAAGAATTTTGGCGATTGAAATTCAAGTACAAGGAGAAAAATTTTTGATTGTAGGAATCTACGCACCAAATGATGGGAAATCGGAATTCTATAAGAAGCTGCATGAGACAATGTTGGACTATATTGACTATACTAACATCATTTTGATGGGTGATATGAATGGAGTTGTCTCCACATATATGGATAAGTCACAAAATCAGAATTTGACCAAAGATGGCAGACTTCCAAAGACTTTCTTTGAACTTACAGACAATATGGATTTGATTGATATTTGGAGGACAAAGAATCCTCTAGGTAAAGAAGGAACATTCTTTTCTGAGGCCCACCTATCCTGGACAAGAATCGACCAAATCTGGATGTCTAGAGGACTGGCCCCTAAGACTAAAAAAATAGAGATCTGCCCTAAAACCTGCTCCGACCATAACGCCTTGAAAATAGACTTGAGACTTACACCAGCTGGATCCTTCAGATGGAGAATGAATGACTCTTTGTTTAGAGATCAGGAGATTGTGAAGAAGGCCCAAAAAACGTTGAAAGACTACTTTGAAATAAATTTGAATACTTCGGTGGAAAAGAAAATAATCTGGGACGCGAGTAAAGCTGTTATGAGAGGGTTTCTGATACAACAGAATACTATCAAGAAAAACTCTGGAATGGTAAAAAGGACAAGATTTTGGAGAAGATAAGAGACGGTGAGAAAAAGTTGAGACTAAATCCAAAATCAAAAGAAGTCTTAAGAGAAATAAAATTCCATCAAGCACAATATACAAAATTGATAAATCAAGAAGTTGAATGGAAAATTAAACAGATGAAACAAAGATCTTTTGAATCAGCAAATAAATGTGGGAAGCTGCTGGCATGGCAGCTGAAAAAGAGACAAAAATTGAACTTTGTTACCAATTTGGAGGTTGAAGGAGAATG